CCATCCTCACAGTGATGGACCAATGCACAAAATGAAGGATGCACAAAGAGGCCTCTATATCCAAGGTCAATGACTTTAACAAATAGGAAGACTCCAATTCAATGAAGGGACTAAAGCAAACTGTCTTAGACAAAAATGTGGATTTACATGAAAAATAAGGAACACTGACAGTTGCATCACACTGATGGAAAATTGAGCATCAAATGGATCACGGACATAAACCTTTCAATTAAAATTGCAAAAAAATTCTGGATGAAAGAAAATAGAACATTTTAAATCTTTTTTTTCTTTTGAGAAAGGATCTTTGTATCACAAGTTGGCTTCAAACTTACTAGGTATTCAAAAAGGACCCCGAATTCTTGATTTTCATGCTTCTGCTTCTAGAGTCTATAGTGCTTGGATTACAGGTGTGTACTCCAGAGCCCCTGGTTCATGCCATGCTGAGGATCAAACCCAGGGCTTCAGGTACATTAAGCAAGCTCTTTATCAACTAACTCATATCCTCACTCTACATAAAACTTCTTCATACCCTTCGGTTAGGCAAATATTTTCTAAGCTAAATTATAAAATGATAACTTTGTATGTGTTAAAATTACAACGTTTTTTCTGAAGGAACTTCAGAAAATAAATAGAAAACTAGAGGCTAGGGAAAATATTTGTGAATATGTGTATTGGAAACAGAACATATTTGGAGTATGAAAGATGAAGGGCTAATGGGAAAATGGAGGGAACTTTAGTTATGGGTGGGGAGGAGGGACAAATAAAATTCATTATGTGTAAGAAAAACACAGGGGAAAATACTTTTGTGGCAACTTAAAATAAATATAACATATGTGTACATACATTTTATATATACATTGTGTGTGTGTGTTTGTGTATGTGTGCGTGCACATGAGTGTGTTGTACACACACATACATAGTTTTTTCCTTTTTGGTTTTTCTTTTCTTTTATATTTTTTTTTAGTGGCGACAACCATTTATTTTCCAGTTTCCTGGGCAACAGAGCAAGAAAGTACGTCCTGTGAGTAATTGTGAGACCAACAAAAGCCAGGCAGGCTCTAGAAAGTCCAGGTTAGGTCACATGTGAGCACAAACATTTCCTGATGTTTCTTTCTCTCTTTCCCCTATTATTGGATGTTTTCTTTATTTACATTTCAAATGCTACCCCCTTTCAAGGTCTCCCCTCCAGAAACCCCCTCTCCCACCCACCCACTCCTGCCTTCCCGCCCTAGCATTCCCCTACACTGGGGCATCAAATCCCAACAGGACCAAGGGTTGCTCCTCCCACTGATGTCCAACAAGCCCCTCCTCTGCCACATACACAGCGGCCGGAGCCATAGGTCCCTCCATGTGTACTCTTTGGTTGGTGGTCCAGTCCTTGGGAGTCTCAGGGGGTCTGGCCGGTTGACACTGTTGTTCCCTCCATGGGGCTGCAAACCCCCTCATCTCCTTCAGTCCCTTCTCCAACTCCTCCATCAAGGACCTCTCACTCAGTCCAACGATTAGCTGCAAGAATCTGCCTCTGTATTTGTCAGGCTCTGGCAGAGAGCTTCTCAGGAGACAGCCATATCAGGCTCCCTCAGCAAGCACTTCCAGGCATCTGCAATAGAGTCTGGGTTTGGTGACTGTATATGGGATGGATCCCCAGGAGTCTCTGGATGGCCTTTCCTTCTGTCTCTACTCCACACTTTATCTCCATATTTCCTCCTGTGAGTACTTTGTTTCCCCTCTTCTAAGAAGGAATGAAGCATCCACACTTTCTTCCTTCTTCTTGAGCTTCATATGGTCTGTGAATTGTATCTTGGATATTCTGAGCTTCTGGGCTAATATTCACTTATCAGTGAGTGCATATCATGTGTGTTCTTTTGTGACTGGGTTAGCTCACTCAGGATGATATTTGCAAGTTCCATTCATTTGCAAATTTCATGAAGTCATTGTTTTTAATAGCTGAGTAGTATTCCATTGTGTAAATGTACCACATTTTCTTTATCCATTCCTCTGTTGAAGGACATCTGGGTTGTTTCTAGCTTCTGGCTATTATAAATAAGGCTGCTATGAACATAGTGGAGCATGTGTCCTTATTACATGTTAGAGCATCTTCTGGGTATATGTCCAGGAGTGGTATAGCTGGGTCCTCAGGTAGTACTGTGTTCAATTTTCTGAGCCAGACTGATTTCCAGAGTAGTTGTTTAAGACAGGGTTTCTCTGCGTAGGCCTGGCTGTCCTGGAACTCATTCTGCAGACCAGGGTGGCCTCGAACTCAGAGATCTACCTGTTTCTGCCCCAAGAGTGCTGGGATTAAAGGCATATGCCACCATTGCATATGCATATTTTTAATAGAGTTATGTCACATGGGGTGATGGTGCTCCCCCAATATTCAGGCAGCATCAAACAAAATCCAAGTGCTTGTCATGGGAAACATCCCCTTGAATTGTTGGTTGGGGGAAAACAAGACTTTCTCAAAACAGGATGTGCCATTGTCATGGCTCTTAGTGAGGTCATCTCATATATATATATATATATATATATATGTGTGTGTGTGTGTGTGTGTGTGTGTGTATACGTATATATATGTATATGTATATATGTATATATATGTATATATGTATCTATTTATATATGTGTATACATATATGTGTGTGTGTGTGTTGTGTGTGT